CCCCCCCCCGTGGGGACAATAAACGACGTCCGAGGGTGGCTTTGGTGCTTTGTGACCTCTGTGGGGACATCAGGTGACATCCAGGTCACCCCTGGGGACATCCAGGTGACATCAGGTGACATCCAGGTCTCTTTATTGGCAATAAATAACAGGGACAGAGGTGCCACCCTTGTCCCCAATGTCCCCAACCCGGGGGTGGCACTGCAGGCCTCTCTCGTCCCCTCCCCCCCTTTGGCTCGGGGACACTTCCCCGATGTCCCCAAATGTCCCCAAGATCCCGGGCACGGCTCCAGGCCGTGTCCCCAAAGTGTCCCCAAGGTCCCCTCCGTGGCACGTGGCAGTGGTAGCGACCCCCCCCCCCCATTGTCGCCTGGCTTTGGGGACACTTTGATGGTGGCACTGTCCCCATTGTCCCCATTGTCCCCAAGGCTCTGGGGGTGGCCCTTTGGTCCCTGTCCCACCGGGGGTGGCCCTGTCCCCTTGGTCCCTGTCCCCAGTGTCCCCACAGTGTCCCTGCCACCCCAGCAGTGTCCCCACAATGTCCCCAAGCTGTCCCCACGATGTCCCCACTGTCCCAGCGCCACCCTGGCGATGTCCCCAAGCTGTCCCCACGATGTCCCCGCTGTCCCAGCGTTGTCCCAGCACCATCCCCCGCTGTCCCCTCGCTGTCCCCAGTGTCCCCCAGTGTCCCCAGCTGTCACTTGACAGGTGGCACCACCAGCACCTTGCACTCCCTCTTGGCGATCTTGTCCAGGGCCAGCACGGCTTTGTCACCTGCGGGCAGGTACAGGGGGCGTCCCACGGGGGACCCCACGGGGGGGGTGATGGCACGGCGCTCCATGACACTGCCCGACCTGGGGACAGCCACAGCAGCGTCACCTGTGTCACCTGTGTGTCACCTGTGTCACCTGTGTGTCATCTGTGTCACCTGTGTGTCACCTGTGTGTCACCTGTGTCACCTGTGTGTCACCTCAGTGTCACCTGTGTCACCTGTGTCACCTGTGTGTCACCTGTGTCACCTGTGTGTCACCTGTGTCACCTCAGTGTCACCT